GAGAGAGAGAGAGAGAGAGAGAGAGAGGGAGAGAGAGAGAGAGGGAGGGAGAGAGAGAGAGAGACTTATAAGGAAAACAAAAAAAACTAGAACAAAAATTAGATGCAGTAATAAGACTGCATGAAGCAATGCATAGATCATGGTTTAATGGTTAAGTCATTAACCATGGTTAATGGTTAAGTTTAATGGGAAAGCCAATATGGACATATGCATTCTTAACTTGATTGGTAAAGATGTAGATCCTGAATTCCACAACATATTAACTTTGACTATTTATAATATTGTTAGTTTTCTTGTGTTTAGTTGTATGAACCCAATTGTAAGGTCAGTTTAGGGTTCATTAGATTGCCTGAACCCAGTAAATGAGTTTTCAGCAACTAGGGTAAGTGTATTATATGCAACCCACTGTACCATTTCTTATAGAAAACTGCAGCCATTCTAACAACCTTGAGCATAATCTTTCTACACACCAAAACATGAAGCATTCAGCACTTCTCAATCCTCACATTTGATTCATTTTTGCATGCTATTTTTGATAATGCATTTATTTTTATGATTTGAATCAGGCAGTTCTGATGGTGAGATAGTTGTATGGAATAATAGTACTGAAAATGCCATCATGAAGCTTTCCTACAATCCTGGAAGATCATTGAGGTCCAACTCAGGTTAGTAAGCATAATAATGAGACATTAGTTTTTTTAGACTTAGTAACTGTTATTTTGTATAGGAAGGGAGACAATAAATGCCTATATCTTTCATTGCATTGAACTTTTCCATCTGCAGATTGATGCCTGCAAGGAGTAGTCCAAACTGAAATCCACACATAATTTGGGGAACTGTCCATTGAGTGATGGTGCTGAATTATGTTAGTTGAATTAAGGTACTTGTGAGCTACATAATGGAGGGTCATATCGTAATGGTCAAGAGTGGTAGAAATTGGAACCATGCTATTCAAGACATGTGACTGATACCTGTAAATGTCCATGTTGGCATGAGATGTACACTGATGTACATAAATCAGCTATCCCCAACTTGAGTGCTCTCCAGATGTGTGAGATTCAATTCAGCTGTGGAGCAATCCATGCTGGGGATACATAACACTAGATAATCAATTACCTAGCAGCACTAACCATATAATTATATGTACACTAGGCTGTCATGTTCTTATGTAGGATAAAGGTAAGTTCATCAAGCCTTTAGACTTGGATCAGGAGCCACAGAACATAAAGAAATGCTAGCTTCTCTATTGAAATAGGGGCAGCTGCTATATATGTACAGTTACCTTCCTATGTATCTCCTATCATATTGCTGCTTGGTAAATTATCATCTGTTTTTAATCTAGCAACATTGCAATTATCTCGTTCTATGGGATCAAGCAGGCCAGGGAAACTTTGATCTCTGGAATTAATAATAATGAGTTCCAGCTAGGAGACTGTTTATGCCTTTGCTTGTCAGAGTGACAAAAGTCAGGAGCAACCAGGCTGTTCCTTGTAGTTTGCTTGCTAATTCCCCATCACACCGAAAATGATTGTTCCTGTTTATTGTCTCAGATCTATGTCAGCAATTTTTGTGTTACCCTCTTCAGCAGGGAGTATTTTCCTTAATTTCTGCCTTGTTTAAGTGCAAGATGATAAATAATTTCAGGGGGCTCCCTTGCAACTCATCCTCCCCTCGAGGCTGTTCATAACCTGAGAAATTTCATTTGGCTGAGTCTTCACACACTAATGGTTATCATATATTAACCAACATGCCAGCAGGCAATTCATAATTGCTCCCCGTTCTACAAATCGTAGCTTCCATTATGGAAGAATAACTCGCATATATAAGATAGCGAGGTGAGAAGAGTTTGTTATAGTAGAGACAGAAATGTATCTTCGACTAACGTTACGGAATGGCTTGGCACATCCCTGTTCTGCTCTTTCCTTAAATTGCATGGCAATTTTAAAAAGGGCCAGCTATATAAATTTTAATCTCATCAACATCTTGCTGTCAGGGTAGCCTATAACACACAAGGCAGAAGGGTAAGAAAAAGAGACTTTTGATCTTCTGCACTTATGTCGCTTGCAAGAAGAGAAGCTTTTCTTTCTTTCTTTCTTTCTTTAAAAAAAACACCAATTGGAGGATATCTAATCTTCACTAGATAAATAATCCCTTCATCTAGATATGTCGGAAAATGATTTTGTTATGAATAGAACTGAAATAATGATGTTGGAAGAAGATGTCTAAGCCCTTAAGGCCCTAAGATGTGTATGAAGACTGTAATGAACCAAGAAAGCAATTTTGTGGCTGTAGAGTATTCCTAATTTGAAATCACCTCTGCCACTCCATGTCTAGCCTGGGATCATTTCAGTATATTTGTTATGCAGAAGCCCATTAAATCGGTGTTATATTATCTGCAAATTTCTTGCCATATTAAGGAGAGAGGACTGAAAATATACTGCAGTATATGTTTGAGACACAGATAGAGCCAAGTTTTGTCTTGGAAGAGATACCAAATGCAACATATCCAAATTGCCAAATGCCAGAATAAAACATCATACATTATATATAAAATGCCTAATAAGTTGATTCCTGCATATTTAATATTTTCCCCTTCTGTCCCATTTAAATAGGTGCTTGGCAGTAACATTGCTAGGATCCTAGTGTCATAGCCAGAGCTTAAAGAGATTTTTTATAGCCTCAAAACATAAAACTTTATTTTTTAAGATCCCAGGGAGTATGAAGGGATCAGAAGAAAACAAGAATAAGGAGAAAAACATGGGGGGAAATGCAACATTCAGCATCTGTTACTTAATAATTATGCAGCATAAAAATTAACTTTGAAACTTGTCTGGTACCTGGGTGTTGCTGTGAATATAGGAATAAATATTCTATATTTGAACTACCTTGAAAAAATTAAACAAAAATCTAGCATAAAGTGAATGGGAGACCACCAGGAAATCACAAGGCTATATCTGGTAAAATGAGAACAAAAACAGTCATGGGATAAAATAATGGCAAAATACTTCCAAATTGCTGCCAAGAAAACTACATGGACATGTCTATGTCAGAGTTTGTTGCAAAAATCAAATCCAGGAAGCACACACAGATAACTAAAGATTCATTAACTTCTTTATATACATAATAACACATGAATAAATGTACAATACCAACAGCAGATTCTTCCAACGTGGTAGAGAGGAGAGATTTTTTCAATTCAGAACAGACAAGTCCAGACTAGATTAGTTTCTCTTTCCTTTTGTACAGCACTCAGAGCTGCAGTTAAGCCATGCCCAGACTCCAAACTCAAGCTTCTGTTTTCCAAACAAGTCCCATTGGCTGACCTGTTACCATGCCTATTCATTGGTTGACCTTCTTACCATGTCTCTGCTGGTTCATGAATATTCTGAAAGTCTAGGGTTAAGCTGAATTAAAGAGTCATTTATTTTTATCCTGCCATTAGGTAGGTTTGTGATACATATTTCAGCAACGATCGGTTCCAATCTAATTAATACCCATATAGAGGCACAACATGATCAGGGAGATTATTTGACTTTTTTTTTGTAGTTAAGGATCAACATGAAAAAAATGCAATGAAATAGCTTATTCTATTTCCTGATTCTTTT